GGGGGGAAAAAAGAGGGGTTGGATAAAGTCAGCATGCAACATTTTCCTTTCAACTGCTCCATAAATAACCTGCTTTGAAACCCCGATCAGATACGAAGCCTATCGACTACTTGCCATGCAGCAGATATTATGCTATCAGAGTTTCGGGTCTTTGCCTGTGACAACAAATGAAGCACTGATGCATTTCACTTCTCGATCGCAGAGTTTATAGTAGATATTGGTAGTGTAAGTGATACCTCTTGCAAGATGTCGATCTTCATGTGGCTTTCGGTTCAAGACAATGTCACTTCCAGACAATGTCTCCCATGAATCTTAGGGCAGGAACTCCTCTAATTTCTACATCAACCAGTGGTGCTTGGATTAACTTCAAGCCCATGAGCTCTGCATCATTTTGGATCATTTCAAGGGCTCGGGGCCGACGCGGGGAGCTCTAAATGACATGGCCTCGGGGTCGACGTGGCTCGGTTCGGGTTTAAATGACGTGGAATCTACCAAACTTCTCCAGGGAGTTCTTCGCCTGTGCACCCGGTGAGAGGCGCCTTGTCTTCGTTCCTGCACACAGGTCGGGTCGGAAGCTCGGCCCGACCCCTCCGACGATCAAGTTAGTGATGTGGAGTCAAGTGTCTTTTTTCCGTCCCTTTTTTGCTTAGAACACGGGGGTATTTATATGAGAGCTTAGTGTTACCTGGAACGCCTGTCCGCAGGGAGCAGAATCGTACCTCTGATGGCGTCTGCCATTGCCACTGGCGTGTCGTGAAGAGGCGAGCCTGAACGATCGTTAATGAGCCTCGGTCGGTGTTTTGGCCCATGCTGGCCAGGCGTTATCAGCCCGTCAGAGGCGCGGGGCGTCAGCTGATGTCACAGGAGTCTTATCATAATTATTACCCTTATCACTTATCCATTACTTATAATACAAAACTTCATAATAGGACTCAAGTCCTTTGCTTTTTTTGGTCATTGATAGAGAGACTATCAATGACTATATCCAAGGCACTTCAAAGAGTTAATCAGTACATTACCACCTAGGTAGTGGACTCAGGCAAGCATGAGAAGTCACATAAGAGGTCGAAGTAAGAATAACCACAATCAGCCTCGATCTCGAGGTCATTGTGACGAAGGAGAAACAAATGACCTGAGTTATCTCATCCAAAGCTCAATCTAACCTTCTTAAATATGACTAGAACTGAAGATTTTCTTATAGATAAGAGAGAATGGGCTCTTAAAAGACCCTTACTTGATGAAGACCCCATTGGCAAAAAGAGACAAGTCTAAATACCATCGGTTCCACCTGGATTATGATCACAATGCATAAGATTCTTATGACTTGAAAGAGTAGATTGAGGAGCTCATACATCAAGGACCCCTTGGGCATTTTGTTCAAAAGTATCAAGAACCCTCACCTCAACCTTAGGGGTCGGTGAAGAGGTAAATTGAAGTCATAATTAATAGACCCACCTTGGGAGGAGACAACTCCTCAGGTCGTAATCTTATATATGAGCTACCATTGAAAAGCATCTAAGAATGAAAGATGACCCAGAGATAACTTTCAAGGAGGAAGATGAGAGTACCTAAGTCCCCTTCGCTCGATGTGGTTCCCTCGATAATATGAGTGGTAGGTTAATGATGGGAGGCTTTGTGGCCCATCGCATCATCATTAATAGCACTTGTGCTCCTCACCACAATCGTTTTTGCCAGCAAAAACCCTCACCAATGTCACTTGTGACTCTTCTCGCCTACATGTGGGCTTGCAACGCTCTCTCGTCACAGTTTGCCACAACACTCACTACAATCCTTGTCCGAGGTGGGCATCTCAGGTAGAAATAGGCCCCTCCACCCGAGGTGAGTTCCTTGATGATGAGAGAGGTAGGTTGGCAATGAGAGGTTTCATAGCTTGAGGCAGAAGGAGGTTGACGTAGGCACCTCAAGCTGAAATAGGCCTCTTGTGCCCAAGGTAGGGAGGTTAGGCACCTGACACCCCTCGTTGCTGAGGCATGGAGGTTAGGAAACCGATCGCTCTTCAGTGCATGGCACTATGGCTCTTATTATTGTCACAACTTACTGACTCTTTAAAGGTGATCAAGGTTGTCTCTACCATCGGCAATCGTGACCTTAACGACAAGATTGAATGGAGCTCCTAAAAAGGATTGTTAGACCCCATGGAGGGCTAAAGAGGCGATGCTCAAGAATGCTATTACCTATTCCACAAGGTTGGAGGTTCAAGGAGGTAACCAAAATGGTGATGACCAAGAGCCACAAAGGTTCAAAAACTAGCCCTCCGCTTTCTTTGATGTCGATCACGAAGGTCAAGAAACTGACCACCATCATTGCCGACCTCTGTGCCTGAAGGAGGGTTAGATTCATGTCGACAAGGGATGATCTGTCGTCAGCATTCGCCTAATGCACAGAGTAAGAGAACCAATTGAGGAGGCATAAGCTTAACATATTGGATGAACTAGATATTGCACTTTGGTTCCCTCTTGTGAGAGCCCCTAAAGCACACCTTGAGGGGGAGACAAATGATAGAGAGAATATCATCAATCAATCTTCGTATGACATATGACCTCCATATGGTGTTCAGACTGAAAGGTAAGATAAAAGCCACCCTCCACCTATCTAAGCATATGGACAAGAGTCCAAAGAAGGCGGTTGTAAGCTATTCGTCCATTGTTGCTTATGTGGATAAAAGGCCAAAGAGATATTGTTAGAGGCTACCTTTCTGTATAATATTTCATGAAATATTTTATTCCTTTACAATCAAATATAAAAGCTCATTTTGAATACAATAAAAGGGAAATCACATTTTGAACACTCGTGTCCACATTTACCTACCTCAAGTTACTAATGATCAGGTCAGGAAACCTCTTTCGATCTCAATCTTCATATATATGGTACCTCATAATGAGGGTGATAATTACGATAAGACTTGTGTGACATCAACTGACGCCCCACGTCTCTGTCGGGCTGACAACGCCTGGCCGACACGGGCCGAAACGCCAACCGAGGCCCATTAACGATCGCTCAGGCTCGATTCCTCACGCCACGCCAACATCGATGTCAGACGTCATCAGAAGGTACGATCCTGCTCCCTGCGAGTAGGCACGTCAGGTGACACTAAACTCCCTTATAAATACCCTTGCGTTCTAAACGAAAGGGGAGGGAAAAAAGGGGGGAAAACGATAGCAAACACGGGAAAAACTCATGCGACCCCTGACTAACTTGATCATCGGAGGGGTCGGGTCGAGCATCCTGACCCGACCTGTGTGCAGGAACAAAGACGATGCGCCTCTCACCGGACGCATTGGCAAGGAGCCCCTTCCCGAAGGAAACAACGACCCACCTCCACGACCGAACCGACCCGAGCCGGCAACCTCTGCAGTCCCGAGGAACCCCCCCGAGAGATCCCCCGTCATCCAGACCCGAATCGAGTCACGTTGGCCCCGAGGCCATGGCTTAAAGTTGTTTACACAATCATTTTGGCGCTAGAAGGAGGGCCTGAATGTCGAGGGATCGCCAGACCGACTCGGTCGAACCCGCAGTCGAGGGGTCGCACCCGGTCGGGGCTCCGGGGGAACATTCCCCGCGGGCGGGTCTCCGCAACGAACACCCCGCCACAACTTCAGAGCGCTATTGACGGATCTTCAACGACCTAGGTTTGTTGCTGCCCGACGCCCCCTCCGCCGAACCGTCGCCCGTCTCGTCCGAGGCCTTTCTCGACCTCACCCATCAAGTCCAAGCTCTGGCCGGTATGGTGCAGTTCATCATTCCACTCGTCTCTCGAACGCTGCACCCGCCGGCCGTCGAACCGGTGCAACAGCAGGAGCCGCCCGTCCAGGCTCGTGCGTAGCCCCTGGAGCTTCCCGCTTCGCCTCTGGTCCCGTCGTCCCCACTCGGGGATCGAGTGACGATGGACCAGAGAGGCCACGTGCAACCCGAGGCCCTTCCTTCGGCCTCGACGGACTCCCTGCGAGCCTAGTTGCTCCTCGTCAGTCAACGGCTTAACGAGGTACAGAAGGAGGTCCGCAGGTCAAGAGGAGAGCTCGGGGAGGACGTACATCAAGGATCCCCATTCGTCCTTGAAATACGGGATCAGACAGTCCCACAGAACTTTCGTCTCCCCTCTCTGGACACATACAATGGCTCCACCGACCCAATGTACCATGTAGCCGCCTTCCACACCCAAATGGCGTTGTATGAAACCTCTGACACTCTGATGTGCAGGGCGTTCCCCGTAACTCTGAGAGGACCAGCCCGCACGTGGTACAGCGGCCTGAGGACCGGGACGATCGCCTCATTCGACCAGCTCGCCAGAGACTTCGAGTTCAACTTCCTGGCCAGCGCACGGCCGAAACCGTCCATTGCCTTGCTTCTCGGACTACACCAGAGGGAGGATGAGTCCCTCTCCCACTTTGTGAACCGTTTTACAATGCAGATTCGGGGATTATCCGATGCTCACCCCTCTCTGTTGATGCAAGCGTTCATAGCGAGACTGCGACCTTCCCGATTCTTCTGGTCCCTCGTTGAGAGACCCCCCACCGCGGTACCTGAGATGCTTCAGCGGGCGAACCAGTTTGTCGCGGTTGAGGCTTGGATGGCCGGAAAGCCGGAAGAGCACACGAAGGTCAGACCGGAGCCGGCTCGCGGGCAGTAGCCTGCCGCGACTAGGCACAGGCTGGACCGATCTGACCCGCCCGCTCTGAGGCCTCCTCTGCCCCCTCTGGGCGCATACCAAACTGAGATATTTCTCCAGATAAAGGAGAGAGGGTTGCTCAGGGCTCCCGTCCCGATGAAAAACCCACGAGAGCTCGCCGACCAGTCCAAGTATTGTCGCTTTCACAAGCAAAGCGGGCACGACACCGAAGACTACCGCGAACTGAAACGGCAGATCGAGGAGCTTGTCCGTAAGGGTCACCTCAGTCGGTACATCCGACAGAACAAGGAGCCCTCACCTTGCCCGGAGGGCCCCGTGGAGCGCCACATCGATGTCATCACTGGAGGACCGGCAGCTGGGGGAACCAGTATATCCGGGAGGAAGGCATACTCCCGTTCCGCCAGGACTGACGCTCCCCAACGCGGCCCCGACCCTAAGGTTGCATTCCCTCCCAAGGACGCCAAGTGACCGGAGCATGACGATGCGCTTGTGATAATGGCTCGAATCGCTAATGCCCAGGTGAGGAGAATCATGATCGACACGGGGAGCTCAGCCGACGTGCTCTATCTGGATGCCTTCAAGAAGTTGGGGTTAACCAAAGAATCCCTGAAGCCAATCTGCTCGGTGCTCACGGGATTCACCGGCGATTCGGTCTCACCATTGGGGACTGTTACCTTGCCCCTGACCTTGGGAGCGCCGCCCAGAACAAAGACGGTGATGTCCACCTTCTTGGTAGTGGAACTTGCTACTGCTTACAACGCCATCCTTGGCCACCCCACCCTCAACAAAATCAGAGCTGTAGTCTCCACCTATCATCAGATGGTGAAGTTTCCTACCCACGCCGGGACAGGGGAAGTTTGGGGAAGCCCCCAAGAGTCCAGACGATGCTACCTGACGGCGGTTTCGCTGCATAAAAGGGCAAAGACCGACCAACCTCTAGAGGACTCGAGAGAAAAGAAGCGGCCGACACCACACCCGGAGCCGACGGCACCCACTTGCGACATACCGTTGATGAATGATCGCTCGGATCGGACGGTCCAGGTCGGGTCGGAACTCCCCGAGCAAGAACGGGAGCAGCTCGTTGGTTTCTTGCAGGGGAACGCCGATGTCTTCGCCTGGTAGCCATCCGACATGACCGACATCGACCCAAAGATCGCCCAGCATCACCTGAATATATCACCCAATGCCCGGCCAGTAAAATAGAAACCACGACGCCAAGCCCCTGATAGGCAACTCGCCGTCCGCAAAGAGGTAGAGCGACTCTTAGCGGCTGGCTTCATCGAGGAAGTCAAGTACCCGCGATGGCTGTCTAATGTAGTGCTAGTAAAGAAATCTAATGGGAGCTGGAGGATGTGCGTTGACTATACGAGTCTCAATCGTGCATGCCCAAAAGACTGCTATCCCCTCCCAAGGATCGATTAGCTGGTCGACGCAACTGCCGGGCACGCCCGCCTGTCGTTCATGGACGCCTTCTCCGGCTACAACCAGATCAGAATGGCACCCGAGGACCAAGAGTACACGGCTTTCAGCACCGATCTAGGGGTGTATTTCTACAAAGTCATGTCGTTCGGGCTAAAAAACGCAGGCGCTACCTATCAGAGGGTCGTGAACAAAATGTTTGCCACACAAATTGGGCGAAACGTCGAAGTCTATGTCGACGACATGATCGTGAAAAGTCATATGGCGGCAGACCACCTGACCGACTTGGCCGAGACATTCTCCACACTCCGGAGGTATGGCCTACGACTAAACCCGGCGAAGTGCGTTTTCGGCGTCAGTTCGGGAAGGTTCCTCAGATTCATCGTGCATGAAAGAGGAATCAACGTGAATCCGGAAAAGGTTCAGGAGGTCATCAACATGCAGGCCCCTCGAACAGTCAAGGACTTGCAGCGACTAAACGGATGGCTTGCTGCCTTATCCCGGTTTCTATCTCGGTCTGGTGATCGTTACCTCCCCTTTTTCCGGGCATTGAAGAACCCAAAGGACTTCCGGTGGACGGCGTAGTGTGAAGAGGCTTTTGGACAAGTCAAGCGGCACTTGGCCAACCTCCCCCGCCTTGCCTCGGTTACTCTCGAGGAAAATCTCAGCATTTACTTAGCCGCCTCCCAGCACGCGATCAGCTCCGTCCTAACCAAAGAGGCTTCTGGGGAACAACTACCGGTCTACTACATCAGCAATGTCCTGAATGGGCATGAGGAGCGATATCCGTCAATCGAGAAGCTCGCTTTGGTGCTCGTGCTGACGTCTCGGAAGCTACGCCCCTACTTCTAGGCTCACCCGATTGAGGTAATCACTGACCAAGCGCTCCGGCAGGTTCTATCTAAGTTTGATGTTGCAGGACGGCTCCTTAAGTGGTCGGTAGAACTAAGAGAATTCGACATATATTATGTACCAAGGACTGCTATCAAAGCCCAGTCCGTGGCCGACTTCATCGCGGAACTGGTTCAAGACGGGAATGGAAGCTCCGAGCAGTCAGAGGAGGAGTGGGACCTGCACGTGGACGGCTCGGCTACCTCTAGCAGCGCGGGCGCAGGGTTGGTACTCTCGACCCCCGACGGACTGTCACGACCTTAGCTGATTTTGCCTAAGGCGTGCGGCACCCTTGCGTGTCCGTCCACAAAGGTCAGCCTCCCCGAAGCCTCCCATCGTCCTTTAGGACCAACAAAAGAGAGAACGGGCTAGAGAAAACGCCTCAATCGGGATCCACAAGCAAACATCTCCGAAAAACACTTCATAGACAATGCAAATTACAAACAAACTTTACAAGCTCTGAACAGTGGCACAACAAAGGGTAAAATGGTCCATTACAGACCGAAAAGCTCTCGAGCGCGTCCACATGACACAACCTTTATTTACTAGCCTAAAGAGGCCACCAACCCAACTAAAATGGGACTATTAAGCCTTCGGCCGCCCCTCTACATTCTGTACAAGGCAAGAACATGCCGAACGACACGGACATACATAAGCATTACATCAAACACCCTGTTTCAAAGTTTGTCCGTGACATTCCCCCCC